TGGCACAATGGGCTTGTATACAAGCTCTGTAACTTCAACTTTCCATTACATCTGGTTAAAATCACCCGTAGCTACCTCCAGCAAAGGTCGTTTAAGGTATCGTTGAATGGTTGTCTTTCCGACACGTTTTCCATCCCAGCAGGAGTCCCGCAAGGCAGTCTGCTGGGGCCCTTGCTTTACAGCATTTACACTTCCGACATTCCTCCCCTCGGAGACGGTTGTATGTTTTTCCTGTTCGCAGATGATACCGCAATAGCCGTCAAAGGAAGGATGCCTCGCGAAATAACGAACAAACTTCAACGATGCCTTAACGCCTTTGCTGATTATGCCACCACGTGGAAAATCAAAATCAATGCTTCCAAAACACAAACAATCATGTTCCTCCATCGACAATCACCCAAACTAAAACCGGCTCCCTCTTGTACTGTAATCATGGATGGCACAAGGGTTGAGTGGTCCGCCGAAGTAACCTATCTCGGGATGTTGTTTGACGAAAAGCTTCTATTCCGCTCGCATGTGGAGAAAACCGTAGTCAAGTGTTCCGCCTTGGTTAGGTGTCTGTATCCGCTTATTTGCCGCAGATCCCGCCTCTCAAGGGCGAACAAACTGGCCGTCTACAAACAAATCGTAGCACCTGCGATCCTCTACGCAGCTCCGGTGTGGGAATCATGTGCACAGACTCACAGGAACAAAATTCAGGTCGCTCAGAATAGAGTGCTGAGGATGGTTCTTGATCGTCCTTTCGACACTAGAATAACAAATTTACATGAAGAGGCAGGCATTGCCAAAAAAGGTTCCAAAATTTAGGAAATTAAGACTAAATTTGCACAAAAATGTAATTTATCAGCACATGCTTTGATAAGCAATTTGTATATAGTAGGTTAGGTGTACATAGTAGTTGTAGGTTAGTTGTAGTTGTAAATAGTAGTTATAAGTAGTCTCCTTTTTCCAATTCAAATCAAACCAATCCCACCAAGGTGGTCATACTTTAAAATACGCCTGATAGGTCTAGGAACTGTAAATAATAATTAAAATCTCAAATGTACTAAAGTTGAAAAGACGCATCTGTGTCACTTAAAAAATTCATACATGTAAACCACATAATCACAAGAAATAAAGATCATTTAAAGGCAAAATGGCCAAGTCTGCTTAGACAGCAATCTAGAGCTCATTCAATACAATATATATATAATATACAGCTCGCAACACGAATGTCACAGAAGTGATAAAATGTCACTAATAAATAATAATAATAATAATAATAATATACAGCTCGCCAGCATCAATCGTGTTGAACACCATAATAGCTCAGCATTGCTCAACCATCACGACAAAACGGTTCTTTTCAGGATCACCATAAATTTGATAAAGAGTATTTTTTGGACATTACCATATATTTTAAAGGCAACATTGGCGGTGCAATTTCAGAATCATAAGCCTGTCGCAGCATGAACGTGGTCTGATTTTGATCCAGAGATGATGAATTTTAATTCTGAACACGCAAATCGAAAGGCAATTTTTCTACTAATCTGTTAAAATTAAGAATCTTTCATTTTTCAAAATGTCACTATTGAAAATTGCACGAATGTGCAACTGTTGCTAAGATAGTTAAAATGGTCACCGATTGCCTGCGCTTTCCCTAAAACAGATTTAAACATTGAATTCCATCCGGTCTCACCGAACGCTGTTCATTCAATCACTGCGTGTGGTGAGTGGTGGTGTTCTCCAGTACACAAAGAAAGGCTCCCCGCAAGCAGCTAGCTATCAAGGCTGCCCTTAACCACTGATCGGATTCAGTTGCTCGTCGTGAGCCGCTGTGGAGCCATCTATGCCGAGCGCGTCATTCTCGTTCCAAACAACATACAGCTCGTCAGCCTCATCCGTGTTGAACACCCTAATAGCTCAGCATTACTCAACCATCACGACAAAACGGTTCTTTTCAGAACCACGATAAACCATTGTTGTTTAAGAGTTAATTTTCATTGAACGTTCGCTCGCCTTGATGTCAGCCACGTCACCCCCAAAGCTCCTTGTTAATGTACCCAGCAACCAAACGTTTGTGGTCAAATGCGTCAAGTATTGAAGTGGTACATAAAAATTCTCGCAATAACCGAACACCACATGACCATGTCAAATAACCAGAAACACTTCGTAAGGTTTCTCCAGGATGCTATAAAAAGAAAAAATCTCTAATTTATATTATTGATCGCGAATATCTCGCGATTTTAATAATTTTAGCAAGAAATTCCTTCAATCAATTTTCGCTTTTTTTTTAATATCTATTGAAAAAGAAAAAAAATCCGTGCGTTTTGTGCTCGAAAATGCGTAATTTTAGCATCATAAAACGAGGCGTTTCCATGATGGAGAAAGTGGTTCCCTAACACAGTCGCCGAATATTAATACCAAGCACTGAGCATGCCAGGCCGTACCTATGTTTATGCCTTTTGATGCAAATTTTAAGCCCATCCTGCCGGTGGTGTAGTGGTAAGCGTGATTACCTCTCACCCCAGCAGGCCTTGGTTCAATCCCAGACGGCGCCCCTGGGATGTTCTGAGGCATAATATCTCTGATTACGCCTTCCTTCGAAAGGGAAGTAAAGCCGTTGGTCCCAGTTGATGGGTCGATACGTGAGCAAGAGCTTGAATCCAAGACATATCGTCCAGGATTGGCTTGTACTACATGAACATCGACAGAGCACCTCACAAACGGAACTTTCAAATTGCTTCCGGATTTCAACCTATTGAACTTTTTCACTCATTACTAGTTAATAAATCAATTTAATATTTACTTCGTGTCGTGTCTTTGATACAACCTCTTACTTGTTTCTAATTCTGCTTTTTCCGAGATGAAAGATCAGAAACGATGTTTGTGATGATGATTTACTTGCAACAGAACACTCGAAAACTATTAATATTGAAATTAATGTTCACCACTCCGTTTGCGTTTTTCAAGAAACCTTACAGAGCTTGAATTTGTAAACAAACAATCTCAAAAGTCATAACTGCAGGGTTGCCAAACTCATGGGATACTGAGATTGACATCTTGATTGTGGCACTTCGGCACGGTCGGCCCAACGCTTGGCACAGATAAAGTACTCGGCACAGATTGATACGTGCATAGTTGATTACCCCTTGGCAGCCAGACATTCTTGATCGAGTTTTAATCCATGGATAATACCGGTTGGATCTTATCACTATTAGAGTTCTTTCTAGGACTATCTTAGTATTGTTCTCTGAACTACGTTGATATTATTATAATGATTCAATTTTGATTTTCCTCGAAATTTCTTCGAAATTGTCATAAAGCAATTCTTAAAAAATAACAGAAATTTCAAACTCGGATCCAGTCAAAGTTCTTTGAATATATTCCAAGGTGCACAATCTTATTACTGACGTAAGACTACGTCTTTCTTTACTACACAGGGCGAAAAAAAGCCGACACACGGACGGTCGTGTGTATGTACAGGAGAAACGCGGAGATAGAGAATAGAAGAAGGGAATAATGTCGCAGCCGATTCTTTTTCAAACAATATATTGTAATTGAATTTTAGCTGCAAGCTTGCGTGTGACAGTAAATTATTAACTCCCTTATTTACTCATAATTTTTAATTCTACATGACATAAGTTTATGCAAAAATGTTCTGTCGCTGACAGAAAACAGTTCAGAAATGTCATGACATTTTTTCCGCTTGCCAGTTTGTTTTTGTGTTTCTTCACTATGGTCATTGCAAAAAGTATCAAATGTTAAGGAAACAACGTTAAAACCCAGTACTCATGCCCCCACTGACCGAGGTCACATCAAGAAATCGTCCACCCACCACTATTTCTCAGCTGTTTTCAACTTATTGAGCTGATTTTCTGTTGATAACTAGTTTATGGTTGACACAGTAGTCTGCAAAATATCTTACTCCAATTAGCGGGAAGCCATATATGATGGAGTTTCTTGCTGTTGCTATATTGAGTATAAAATAAATAAGATGAGATAGAACACTGCGTGTACCAGCATTCATTCCTTATCGATGATTTACCGTTGCAGTCTAGTTACAAGTAATATAATGTTACTTTAACCTTCTCTAATCGCTACACAACCTTCCATTCAACCACTGCTCTTAGCTAAACTGAACACTTAGAAAGAACTAAGCTTACAAAGTTGTTAATAGAAACAAATGGATGCCATTATATCAACCGTAAACGAAAACAAAACCAACAACATGCAGACGCGACACACTGATCTAGACCAAACTGTATACCACTTTCGAACAGTTTCCATTCCTACACAGTCTTCCCGCTTCGCACTGTCCTTGATTGTAGTAGTGCCATCAGTTGTAGCTAGCACTTGCCGCTGCTTGTTTACACCCGCTAGCACACTCACACAAAATCGCACTCCTTCGGCATGGTCGTCCGTCGTCGGCTTCGGCCGGACTGATTCCATTCCATCAGACACTGGTTTGTCGATTCGGCGGCATCCGGATTCAGTCGCACTTCGGACGGCGTCTGGTTCGGATCGATATTCTTTGGGTTTGGCGTGCCATTTCCCCGCGTGGTTCTGTGTTGATTCGACTCGAGTTGAGTGTGTTTACGATTTTGATAAAGCAATCTGAAAAGGGGGCCGCTACTGGTTTGAATGGAGCATAATTTGCAAGTTATGCTTGCACCACCACCATCTTTCTGGGGATTTGTGCATTTTGGTGGATGTTGCCGTTGAAGGATAGTGTGGGTCGTGTTGAGTTTGAGGCAAGGGTGAAGAGAAAGTAGTCCTTGTGTTCGAGCGCGCGGATTGGGGTTTCGCCGGGTCGGTCCGGGCCGTAATCCATTGAAGTGCAGAATAAAGTGCGAAGAAGCTTAACGGAATTGGCAAACGAGAAAAGTACGGATTCTGGAAGAAGAATCACACTCAATTGGTGCGAATTTGTGGTTGGGTGCGAGAAGGGAAGGAAGTGAAGGAGAGCGAGTGGTGAAGAGATCGGCTCAGGAAAAGTGGGAAATTCAAGTTGAATGAAGTGTGTGTTGGTGTTTTTGCGAGAAAGCCGAAGAAGGCAAAAAATGATGTCGGTACGGTCTTGAAGTGTTGAAGGAGGGAGGAAAGGATAGCAGCAGAATTTTATCCCAGTGCTGATGGGAAGGGGGATGAAAGAAGAAAGATGTGCAGTAGGATGCGTCTGCTGCGTTGTTTATTGCTTGCGATTATTACCCTCCTGGAAATGAAGTAATATGGGAGCATGAAAGAGAAGCATTCTCGAGGGTAGTTAGGTGAAGAATATAATGAAGCTAGTGAAAACAAGTGAAGGAAAGATAATAAAGAGGGTGTAAAGAATGAGCAAAATGGCAAACGTGTATTCAGTGTTGAGTTCCATTGTCTTGGTATTGGGTTATGCAAATGTCGGATTAAGCATACAACAGCCGCCGCAGGATGCATACGGTACACACGAGATGTCTGGCCTTAGCCCGGACGAGTTCCAGCACCACAATCGCTGCGAACCGATTACAATTCCCTTCTGTACGGATATCCAGTACAACAAAACCATCATGCCAAATCTGCTGGGGCACGCCAAGCAAGATGAGGCGGCACTCGAAGTTCACCAGTTCATACCGCTGGTCAAAATCGACTGCAGTCCGGACTTGAAGTTCTTCCTTTGTTCCCTGTACGCTCCGGTGTGTACGATCCTAAACTATCCGATACCACCATGTCGAAGCCTATGCGAGAGTGCACGTGTCTGTGAAAGCATCATGCGGACTTTCGATTTCCAGTGGCCAGAAAATTTGGAGTGCACGAAGTTCCCAGTCGACGGGAAGGAGCTGTGTGTATCACAGAACAATTCCTCCGAGAGTACGCCGATTCCACCGAGTGCTATACATACTACCAAGCCGCAGGTCCCGCGGAGGAACACCCCTCCCAACGTGCCCCACCGAGATCTGGGCTTTATCTGTCCTGTTCAGCTGAAAGCACCGACGATAATGGGCTATCAACTGACGGTCGGTGGAAAGGTAAGCCAGCCGCCCTCCGGGCCAGTTAACTTCAACGTGCGTGCGGGACGGACGGGTTTTCACATTTCAATCACGTATAGGCATGCATCCGTTCGTTGGTTTTCGGTTGGCTGTGCGGAAAAGTCAAGCGAACAATCGTTCTTGGAACAATGGCTCGCGGGGGATCATGGGTGTGTATAGACTTTAAGGTGCAAGCGACAGGTTGGACTTGAAAGAACTCTGCTCACGCCAATGTGCTTGCTATGTGTATGACGCTGACCAACCGAAACGGTATTATCGGCTTTTGACGAAAGGGTAGAAGGGTCCTTTCCGTTTTTTGGCATCGGCTGTGTGGGCGGACAGAAACGGTCGAAGATGAAGGATGAATACGATGCTCATCATACCGTGAGCACCGACAGACAGCCTGACAACGAATTTGCGAATAGCTGTTGCTGAAGGTTGAAAAGTGGGCAAAAATTGGTATGGATGAGTTGGGATACAGTCGACCGAACCGAGTTGCCGGTTTACTTTGTATATGAAGGAATTTCCGAAAGCTGATGGCTACCTAGTTGCATTCAATTGGGCTATGGCGAAAAAGGCTAAATGGTTTGTGGTTTCCTCGAAACGATACTCGTCTTGGTTGCGACTGGAAACGAAACACAATTTGATCTGAAGAATGATTCCATCATAGCTTCGTCCCGTTTAACCAGTTTGCTTCGACACAGAGCCTTCCCACCTGTTCTGCTTAGGCGAACAATAAAGGATACCGTTTGCCAAGCATTTTGGTCCCTAATTTGTTTTATGATAGGCGTTAAGGTTGTTCATTTTGTCAGTTTTGGAATGGGAGCAGAAAATTAATTGCCATAATTTATGGCTGGGTTGAGAATCATGCTTGATACCTTGGTGGTGTAGGCCCCTAATTTATTTTGCTTAAGCGCTCTCACCTGAAGGATGGTTTCAGGTGCGATCAGTGGATTTTTGGATTATCTTGTGGAAGTAGCTACACGGGAACCAAACGGAGAATATTTGATGTATTTTTTTTTATTTGTGAATTTGAGAAGGCTCAATCGCGGGAGATTTATTGAGCCAGTCACCTTTATCTAAATAAAGTAAGGTCAGGTCATACATTAAAATTTTCTAAAGTATGAGAAAATTAAATAATCATGGTGTTGTCAAAACCAAACGAGCAGTCATTTATGCTTTTTTTCCTTGATTGGTTTTCCGTTGATCTTGTTTTCCGTACTGAGTACCAATTGAAGTGCCCCTAGGTAAATTCAATCGCACCGCTGCGAAATGCTACCGACACCCAGCTCCCACACCTATCAACCCATCAACTAATGGACCGGGCACCAACGGCTTTACTTACATTCCGAAGGAAGGCGTGATTTTATGCCTCAGAAAATCCCAATGGCACCGACTGGTATTGAATCCTGGTCCTTTGGAGTGAGAGGCAGTCACGCATACCACTACACCACCGGCGCCGCTATTTTTCATCTATGCTGATCTGTATCGTTTGATACTCACTTGAATGAACTGCCTCCAAGGTGTAGATATCATCGGAATCCACAGTGTGCTACGCAATTTAGTTGAAATTGGAATGCAGTTTCCTATCTGAGCTGTTTAATCATAGATCTATAAAGCGAGAAGTGATTTGTTCAAGGCTATTGCTCGACGACCTGACGTACAGAAACATATCACCTTGCATTTATTGTCGCTTCTAGCGTTATCGCTAACGTAACATCACTTAGCGAGCCAATCGAAATCTTGTTTCAGCATATTTATGACAAACGCTATGCAAGCAGGAACACTAATTGTTGACATATTGACGAACGTGTTTGAAATACCTGGAACTGTAAAACCACAGACAAGCAGACTCTTTCTCCTCACAGTGCTGGCATCGGATCACTGTGACATTTCTGTTCACGGTAAGAAGCAAGTACCCAAAATTGAGTACCTTTCACTTAACACGTGGCTTCCGTGGGGTTAGGTAAAATTAAGTTAGAGGAGAAAACAAAATTTTGAGTAATCCTGATCAAGAATCCATTGAGTGAAATTCACCAAACGATAAATTGAATAGAATTGGTAAAAAATTATACCATTTTATTACCAAACGTTGGAATAAAATTTATATGAGATGATTGAGCACAAAAAAATGACAGCATCGACGGTAGTGCAGGTTGCTATGATTTCCATTCAAAAATAAGTTAAAAGTACCCAAAGGTGATGACGATTGAGTAGTTATAATTGAAAATTGAGCTCTCTTTTACTTTTCATCAAAGCATGTTTTATTTAAATGAAATATTGAAAAACATTTCAAGATATTCTTCGTTAGTTATTTTATGCAACACAACTTTTCTGATTCACTCAATGGCAGACCTCAAATGGTAGAACCCAACGTTGAGTTTTTTAAGCTTAATTTTGAGTATTTTTTTCTTACCATGTACATTATGTCAAAGTTTTATGCATCATTGCAACAATGCATTGTTTGAGACTTGGCAGGCAAGTTTTTTTTTCCGCGAACTGCTCGTAATATGTCATTAGTGAGTTCCGTGACCATATATTTAATGACAATTCATTTAAATATTTACGCCTGCTGTTAAACCCAATATTCGTCATTATCAGCCTGGTGCACGGAAACGAACTGAACCGTGCGACGCCAAATGTGACACTAGGTAAAATATTTTGTGATTGGAACCTATATTGTCCTTAATTAAAAAAAAAAAATCCCTGTTGGATTTTAATATCTTTAAATCAACGGCAGTGGGTTTTCAAAGCATTTAGCAAATTATAGCTAAATCGTTTAATAAAGCCAAGCATGTTGTATGCTCTGTTGATGATTGTATTATAATGATCACTGAATGTTAGTTTGGAATCTATGATAACTTCTAAATCCCTAATTCTTTCACACTTTTTTACCGGCTGATTTCCTAAAAAAATTGTGCTTTGTTTTCTACTAATAGCGAATGAATTACATTTTTTACGTTCAGTTGTAAAAAGGTTTTTGTTACACCAAATATAGAACACGTGTATTTCATTCTGGAATATCCTGATGTCTTCCTTGTCCTTATTCCTAGAAAGAGCTTCATGTCGTCAGCATAAAATGAAACTTTTATGTTTTCAAGAATGAAGGATAGGGAAATGGCTCTAATGTTGACCTATGGATCTAAGATTGGGCCCATCGCTAAAAATCTGCTATTTGTTAATTTTATTCAGATGAACGCGTCATTGGGACGGTCCTAATGGATATTTTCAGTCGCTATTGAAAATTTATGTATGGGCCCAAATTAGGGACATTTAGGCCTACATTACATCCATTTCCCCTATGTCATTTACAAATAGTATACACAAAAGGGGACCTAGATGAGAGCCTTGTGGGACTCCTGAATTGACTTGAATGGGATTCGATTTCTTTCCTTTGTATCTAACTATTTGTTGACGATTAGTTAGATATGAATCGAGTGATTTGAGAAGTCCTGGGTCAATTCCCATTTTTTTTTGAATCTAGAGTAGCAAGGGTATATTAATGCGATCAAATGTCATACTGAAGTCTGTATATAGAGCGTCAACGTGGTTTCCATTATCCATTGCAAATCAGCGAATAGTTAATAAATTCGAGTAAATGTGTTCTAGTTGGACGGCCTTTGAAGAAACCATTTTTTTGTTTGTTTTTGATTTGATGAAATAATTTTTCATTAACGATTGCTTCAAAAATAGGGGAAATGGTTCTAATGTTGGCCTATGGATCTAAGATTGGGCCCATCGCTAAAAATCTGCTATTTATCAATTGTATCTAGATGAATGCGTCATTGGGACGGTCCTAATGGATATTTTTGGTTGCTATTGAAAATTTAGTCGATTTCTGAATTTATGTATGGGCCCAAATTAGGGACACATAGGCCGAAATTACATACATTTCCCCTATTTAAAATGCGAGAGATAATGGCAATCCCACGTTAATTACGTATGTCAGTTTTTCCGCTTTCAAAAATAGGCACTAAGAAAGAACGTTTCCATATTTTGGGGAAGTTCCCAGATTCCAGCGACTTGTTAAAAAGCCAAAACAGTGGGCCGTAAGTTCTATTGCTAAGCCTTTCATAAATACGGGTGGAATCCCATCAGGTCCTGAACCTTTGGGGATGTCCAAATTTCTTAAAGCCATCATAATGTCCTCCACTTTGATTTATTGACACTAATGTCGTCCATTCTCGATGGAAAGTTGTCTGATTTTAATTTAGTTTTAATGCAGGGGAAATGGCTCTAATGTTGGCCTATGGATCTAAGATTGGGCCCATCGCTAAAAATCTGCTATTTATAAATTTTATCTAGATGAACGCGTCATTGGGACGGTACTACTGGATTAACGGTTGCCCCGTAACGTGGGTAGATCACCTTTTCGTGGTACGTTACGGGATGTAAGATCTACCACCGACTCCTAATCTTGACTACCTCGAACTAGGGAAAAAGGATTTTTCAGTAATCCAAGGAACACATCTTAGTCCTTGTTACGTTTTATGCCTTGTTGATAGTGATAAGTCCTCGGGTTGCCTGAACCGATGATGATCTTGAAACAAGGAAAAAATGAGTTAGTTAGTCTTCATCTAAGTGATTCCTAATCTTCTCTTCGTTGTTCCCTAGTTTGAAGTGGTTCAGAATAGGGTTCTGATGCATAGTCATTATCGGTGTCATACCTTAATTTTGTTGCTAAGGAATCCAATTTTGACTGACAAAGGGGCGCGCCTTTGGAAGGTGCTTCAACACTCCGAAGGGTATAAATAGCGGGACCTTTCAATTAAAGTCGGATCCTTGCGATAAATGCAAGAGTGGCAACTGTAAAAAAATCGAATACTTCATCATTTCTCAATAGTGATGGAGTAATACGACATGCACTAAACTAAGGACACGGGATATACTACAATAGATCAATTTACTGGTCGCAGTAGTGTTAGGTCCCGAACAGAGGAAAAAAAATGGATATTTTTGGCCGCTATTGAAAATTTAGTCGATTGCTGAATTTATGTATG